ATTCTGTGTACAACTCAAAACTCTAATGAGCAGTGAGCAAAGACAAGAAAGCCAGGAAGATTTTGGTTAGTAACTTCATGTTGTCGTGTCGTGTTGGTCTGGGATAAGAATGGGGTGGGGGGGGTTATTTAACATATACTGGGCTTTAACTAAAATATGGGGTCGGCGTAGTCGAGTAGTGGACTCATGGTTTCTAAACCGAAAAGTCTCGATAGCTTGGAACAGCAACCCATCTTTCCTTCCCCATGATAATACATCAAGAGACGTCGTGTTTTTAATGAAGACCTCTCCCAATCTTTAGGACCAATGGATGAAGGAACATACGCTGAGCAAACTTGTCTTAAGTTTTGGGTCCAAGCCTTTGTTTTATGCTTTAAACGCTTCGATTTGAGTGCTAAGTTGTACATATTTCACAGGATTAACAACGATTGTTTGTTTTAATTCAGTAACGGCAATTAGTCAAGATCTGCAGCAAAGCGATCTAGTGGAAAGTGATTGTAGCGAGGATGAAGATGATAAGGGGAATACCACACTGTCAGGTAAACAGAGTATAGGGTATCGTTCAGAGAAAACTAGCTACACACGATACTTATATCTGCAAAGTGAAGTAGATAGAGAATCGTTCAGAAAAAACTAGCTACACACGACACTTAAATTACCACATCGTTCAGAGAAAACTAGCTACACACGATACTTATATCTGCAAAGTGAAGTAGATAGAGAATCGTTCAGAGAAAACTAGCTACACACGACACTTAAATTACCACATCGTTCAGAGAAAACTAGCCACACACGAAATTTAAATCAGCACAGTGAGGTAAATTGAGTATAGATCTAGTACCGTTCAGAGAAAACTAGCTACACACGATACTTATATCTGCAAAGTGAAGTAGATAGAGAATCGTTCAGAGAAAACTAGCTACACACGACACTTAAATTACCACATCGTTCAGAGAAAACTAGCTACACACGATACTTATATCAGCATTTTGAGGCAAGCTGCTAAGTTACAGAAATATCTATGGACGTTTTAAAAAGTACGCTAAAGTGTTTTGCCAACTCAGTTATTAAAATAGTTTTGTATGCTAAATTAATCATAACTCTATTTACCTTTTTGTTAGCCATGTCCGAAATGTTAAATATACGTTTAACTTTTTAAATTAATGAAACATTGAATTCGACACACTGTAAAAAGAGAACCCGTCACATTATAAAAACAATCTATTAATTATTTGAAGTTCGAATCACTTATCTTTTGTATAGAATCCTTAGATCCGAACTTTGAAAACTTGTGTGCAGGGGTATCATAAAAGGCGCACACTCATTGACTCCCAGCGTTGTTGTGTGGCCTTTAAGGACTAAAGCCTGTTGTTTCTCAATCACAGAGATTTGGAATCAAAAAGCTGTGACAGTACCATGTATTTGGGTTGTTTATGAATGTGTATCTAAAGTGTTAAAATGTTGTTTATCAATGTGTATAATTATGAAGTGTTGAAATATTTATGAATGTGTATCTAAAGTGTTAAAATGTTGTTTATCAATGTGTATATGAAGTGTTGAAATGTTTATGAATGTGTATCTAAAGTGTTAAAATGTTGTTTATCAATGTGTATAATTATGAAGTGTTGAAATATTTATGAATGTGTATCTAAAGTGTTAAAATGTTGTTTATCAATGTGTATATGAAGTGTTGAAATGTTTATGAATGTGTATCTAAAGTGTTAAAATGTTGTTTATCAATGTGTATATGAAGTGTTGAAATGTTTATGAATGTGTATCTAAAGTGTTAAAATGTTGTTTATCAATGTGTATATGAAGTGTTGAAATAATGAATATCAATGTGTACCTAAAGTGTTGAAATGTATTGTATTACAGGCAGCCCTCAAACCCAACCACAGAAAACGACAAAGTCCATACAAACCTCCTTGTTAGACTTTATGAAGTCGGCAGTGCTTGAATCTAGTTTACTGCAGGTACTATGGTAATTTATTTTAATTAATTAGTGCTACGTGTTTAACTGAAGGGTGTGTTGGAAAAAAATATTTAGGTTACACTTTTTAAAAATGAGTTTAACACCTGCATATTTTATTTCACCCCAAAACCATCCCCGTAAATTTGGGACATGGAAAAAAAATACCCAAGTGGTTTAATTTCATAAAACTAAAAATATACTAGATATCTCAACATCATTTTAAAAACTCTGAACTCATTATCCTCAAAACAATAAAATTAAGTACTTTTTCCACTGAGCCCCACAATTAGTTTATCCTAATTATGTGATGCGATTTGATATTAATTACTATTGTTTTACTCAGTGTTATGTTGTGTGGTAATTGTCAAAGTAATTTCAAATGACATAAATTTTGTAAATATATTCGAGTTCCAAAGTGCGGTATTTGTAAACTTTCTAGTAAAAGAATTAGTAGATTCCAATGTACGGTATTTGTAAATTTTCAAATAACAGACATCAGTAGGTTCTAAAGTACGGTACTTGTAAACTTTCTGCGAGTAAAACAATATGAGTGGGTGAGAGAATGTTCTTGTGTTCTATCTAGAGCATCCACCTACGGGCTGCCCGCATCTTCAACTTTATGAGAGGTCTCTCCTACAGCAACGTCTACCCCTTCTCACCCTTCAAGAAAACTAGAGAGGAAGAGGTGGAGCAGAATAAAGGTAGGGCGTTGTGTTCATGTCATCATATGACATCCTTTATAAGTTGTTGTGTTGATGTCATGAGATGACATCCTTTATAAGTCGTTGTGATGATGTCATCATATGACATCCTTTATAAGTTGTTGTGTTGATGTCATGAGATGACATCCTTTATAAGTCGTTCTGTTGATGTCATCATATGACATCCTTTATGTCGTTGTGTTGATGTCATCATATGACATCCTTTATGTCGTTGTGTTCATGTCATGAGATGACATCCTTTATGTCGTTGTGTTGATGGCATCAGATGACATCCGTTATAAGTCGTTGTGATGATGTCATCAGATGACATCCTTTATAAGTCGTTCTGTTGATGTCATCATGTGACATTATTTATAAGGAAATCTTTATGTTAATGTCATCATATGACATCCTTTATGTCGTTGTGTTCATGTCATAAGATGACATCCTTTATAAGTCGTAGTGTAGATGTCATCACATGACATCTTTTATGTCGTCGTGTTCATGTCATCATATGACATCCTTTATAAGTCGTTGTGTTGATGTCATAAGATGACATCCTTTATAAGTCGTTGTGTTCATGTCATCATGTGACATTATTTATAAGGAAATCTTTATGTTAATGTCATAAGATGTCAACTTTAGTGGGTAGTTCAAAGTTTTCTTGGCATCAAATGTCATTATTAATCACTGGGTAGTTTTTATTTCGTGTCAGCAAACTATCTCAGCACATTTTGAATCTGAATCACGAACTTGCAACAACTTAAAAACCAAGTTAACTCTTTAGCCGGTGTTATTAAAATCAAGAAATTACCATGTACCTTTTCAATCGCTTCTCTTCACAGAACTGTTTGAAGATATCTTTGAGCTGCACCCCACTAATCTGAAGAAGCTCTATCTGGTGGACAGTGGGCTGACCTTCAACTCCCCCTACCCCCTGGTGCTCCGCCCCCAGAGGGAGGTGGATCTCATTCTTTCCTTTGACTTCAGCGCCCGACCAACGGACGACGCACCGGGTTTTAAGGTGGGTGTTGTATGGTTTGTGTGGGTTTAGTTTGTTGTATGGTTTGTGTGGGTTTAGTTTGTTGTATGGTTTGTGTGGGTTTAGTTTGATTGTATGGTTTGTGTGGGTTTAGTTTGATTGTATGGTTGTATGGTTTATATGGGTTTAGTTTGTTGTATGGTTTGTGTGGGTTTAGTTTGATTGTATGGTTTGTGTGGGTTTAGTTTGATTGTATGGTTGTATGGTTTATATGGGTTTAGTTTGTTGTATGGTTTATATGAGTTTAGTTTGAATGTATGGTTTGTGTGGGTTTAGTTTGTTGTATGGTTTGTGTGGGTTTAGTTTGATTGTATGGTTGTATGGTTTATATGGGTTTAGTTTGTTGTATGGTTTATATGAGTTTAGTTTGAATGTATGGTTTATGTGGGTTTAGTTTGATTGTATGGTTTATGTGGGTTTAGTTTGATTGTATGGTTTATGTGGGTTTTGTTTGATTGTATGGTTTATGTGGGTTTAGTTTGACTGTATGCTTTGTTTGGGTTTAGTTTGACTGTATGGTTTGTCTGGGTTTTATTTGTTGTATGGTTTATGTGGGTTTAGTTTGATTGTATGGTTTATGTGAGTTAAATTTGGTTGTATGGTTTATGTGTGTTTCGTTTGATTGTATGGTTTATGTGGTTTTAGTTTGTTGTATGGTTTATGTGGGTTTAGTTTGATTATATGGTTTATGTGGGTTTAGTTTGATTGTATGGTTTGTGTGGGTTTAGTTTGTTGTATGGTTTATGTGGGTTTAGTTTGATTGTATGGTTTATGTGGGTTTAGTTTGATTGTATGGTTTATGTGGGTTTAGTTTGTTGTATGGTTTATGTGGGTTTAGTTTGTTGTATGGTTTGTGTGGGTTTAGTTTGATTGTATGGTTTATGTGGGTTTAGTTTGATTGTATGGTTTATGTGGGTTTAGTTTGTTGTATGGTTTATGTGGGTTTAGTTTGTTGTATGGTTTATGTGGGTTTAGTTTGTTGTATGGTTTGTGTGGGTTTAATTTGATTGTATGGTTTATGTGTGTTTAGTTTGTTGTATGGTTTATGTGGGTTTAATTTGATTGTATGGTTTATGTGGGTTTAGTTTGACTGTATGGTTTATGTGGGTTTAGTTTGTTGTATGGTTTATGTAGGTTTAGTTTGTTGTATGGTTTATGTGGGTTTAGTTTGTTGTATGGTTTATGTGGGTTTAGTTCAACTTGTGTATGGTTTATGTGGGTTTAGTTTGACTGTATGGTTTATGTGGGTTTAGTTCAACTTGTGTATGGTTTATGTAGGTTTAGTTTGACTGTATGGTTTATGTGGGTTTAGTTCAACTTGTGTATGGTTTATGTGGGTTTAGTTTGACTGTTGTATGGTTTATGTGGGTTTAGTTTGTTGTATGGTTTATGTGGGTTTAGTTTGACTGTTGTATGGTTTATGTGGGTTTAGTTTGTTGTATGGTTTATGTGGTTTAAGTTTGTTGTATGGTTTAAGTGGTTTTAGTTTGTTGTATGGTTTAAGTGGTTTTAGTTTGTTGTATGGTTTATGTGGGTTTAGTTTGATTATATGGTTTATGTGGGTTTAGTTTGATTGTATGGTTTATGTGGGTTTAGTTTGACTGTTGTATGGTTTATGTGGGTTTAGTTTGTTGTATGGTTTATGTGGGTTTAGTTTGACTGTATGGTTTATGTGGGTTTAGTTTGATTGTATGGTTTATGTGGGTTTAGTTTGATTGTATGGTTTGTGTGGGTTTAGTTTGTTGTATGGTTTATGTGGGTTTAGTTTGTTGTATGGTTTATGTGGGTTTAGTTTGATTGTATGGTTTATGTGGGTTTAGTTTGATTGTATGGTTTATGTGAGTTTAGTTTGTTGTATGGTTTATGTGAGTTTAGTTTGTTGTATGGTTTATGTGGGTTTAGTTTGACTGTATGGTTTGTGTGGGTTTAGTTTGTTGTATGGTTTATGTGGGTTTAGTTTGATTGTATGGTTTATGTGGGTTTAGTTTGATTGTATGGTTTATATGAGTTTAGTTTGTTGTATGGTTTATGTGGGTTTAGTTTGTTGTATGGTTTGTGTGGGTTTAGTTTGTTGTATGGTTGTATGGTTTATATGAGTTTAGTTTGTTGTATGGTTTATATGAGTTTAGTTTGTTGTATGGTTTATATGAGTTTAGTTTGTTGTATGGTTTATATGAGTTTAGTTTGTTGTATGGTTTATATGAGTTTAGTTTGATTGTATGGTTTATGTGGGTTTAGTTTGTTGTATGGTTTGTGTGGGTTTAGTTTGTTGTATGGTTTATATGAGTTTAGTTTGTTGTATGGTTTATATGAGTTTAGTTTGTTGTATGGTTTATGTGGGTTTAGTTTGATTGTATGGTTTGTGTGGGTTTAATTTGACTGTATGGTTTGTGTGAGTTTAATTTGATTGTATGGTTTATGTGGGTTTAGTTTGTTGTATGGTTGTATGGTTTATATGAGTTTAGTTTGTTGTATGGTTTATATGAGTTTAGTTTGTTGTATGGTTTATAAGGGTTTAGTTTGATTGTATGGTTTGTGTGGGTTTAGTTTGTTGTATGGTTTATATGAGTTTAATTTGTTGTATGGTTTGTGTGAGTTTAATTTGACTGTATGGTTTATGTGGGTTTAGTTTGTTGTATGGTTTGTGTGGGTTTAGTTTGTTGTATGGTTTGTGTGAGTTTAAATTGACTGTATGGTTTATGTGGGTTTAGTTTGATTGTATGGTTTATATGGGTTTAGTTTGACTTCATGGTTTGTGTGGGTTTAGTTTGACTGTATGGTTTATGTGGGTTTAGTTTGTTGTATGGTTTGTGTGAGTTTAATTTGATTGTATGGTTTATGTGGGTTTAGTTTGATTGTATGGTTTATGTGGGTTTAGTTTGTTGTATGGTTTATGTGGGTTTAGTTTGATTGTATGGTTTATGTGGGTTTAGTTTGATTGTATGGTTTATGTGGGTTTAGTTTAATTGTATGGTTTATGTGGGTTTAGTTTGATTGTATGGTTTATGTGGGTTTAGTTTGTTGTATGGTTTATGTGGGTTTAGTTTGATTGTATGGTTTATGTGGGTTTAGTTTGACTGTATGGTTTATGTGGGTTTAGTTTGACTGTTGTATGGTTTATGTGGGTTTAGTTTGATTGTATGGTTTAAGTGGTTTTAGTTTGTTGTATGGTTTATGTGGTTTAAGTTTGTTGTATGGTTTAAGTGGTTTTAGTTTGTTGTATGGTTTAAGTGGTTTTAGTTTGTTGTATGGTTTATGTGGGTTTAGTTTGTTGTATGGTTTATGTGGTTTAGTTTGATTGTATGTTTTATGTGGGTTTAGTTTGACTGTTGTATGGTTTATGTGGGTTTAGTTTGACTGTTGTATGGTTTATATGGGTTTAGTTTGATTGTTGTATGGTTTATGTGGGTTTAGTTTGACTGTTGTATGATTTATGTGGGTTTAGTTTGACTGTATGCTTTATGTGGGTTTAGTTTGATTGTTGTATGGTTTATATGGGTTTAGTTTGATTGTTGTATGGTTTATGTGGGTTTAGTTTGACTGTATAGTTTGTGTGGGTTTGATTTGACTTTTTAATGGTTTATTTGGGTTCATTTTGCATACATTGCATGAGTTTCAGTGTTATTGTCAATTTTCAACCGATGTGTATTGTATTATTAATTACAATTTAAAACTAGATCTGCTATGCTATAAAACATGTTTAATGTATTATAGCAAACCTGGATAATTCTAATTTTTAAATAACAATCTTAAATACTATAGGTATTTTGTCTGAGATGTTTTGTCTGAGTTTGGCTATTTTAACTATATCTTTTGTCTTGATATATTTTGAGATATTTTTCTATGAGATATTTTGTCCGTGAAATATTTTGTACGTGAGATATTTTTGTCCGTGAAATATTTTGTCCGTGAAATATTTTGTCCGTGAAATATGTTGTCCGTGAGATATTTTGTCTGTGAGATATTTTGTCCGTGAGATATTTTGTCCTTGGGATTTATTTATTTATCCTATCACCAAGATGACAGAGAGGAAAAAGGGCCACTGGCCAACATTACACTTGTGGCCATCTAACTGACCATCAATGTACTTGACAATTAGATAGACAACAAAAGCAGCTAGCCATATACAATGGGGATAATGCAAGTTTCAATACAATAATAGACTGGTTGTTGTTAAGTATAGAAAAAAAACATTTGTGTATATCTACTTCACAAATTTAAACCGCATAATTTTTTTTGACAGGACCTGGTTCTAGCCGCTAAATGGGCCAAGTTAAACAAAGTTCCCTTCCCACCCATCGACCCCAACGTGGCCGAGAAAGAAGGTCTGAAGGAGTGCTACGTCTTCAAGCACCCCTGGGATCCACTCTGTCCCATTGTTGTACATTTCCGTCTGGCGAACATCAACTTTAGACGGGAACTCCGGCCAGGTGTGTAGTACATGTGTGTATGGTAGGGCAGAGTGGTGTGTAGGCTAGGGCAGAGTGGTGTGTAGGCTAGGGCAGAGTGGTGTGTAGGGCAGAGTGGTGTGTAGGCTAGGACAGAGTGGTGTGTAGACTAGGGCAGAGAGGGGTGTGTAGGCTAGGACAGAGTGGTGTGTAGACTAGGGCAGAGAGGGGTGTGTAGGCTAGGACAGAGTGGGGTGTAGGGTAGGGCAAAGAGGGGTGTGTAGCAGAGGCGTAGCGAGGGGGGGGGGGTGGGGGGGACATATGTCCTCGGGCGCCGACCTTAGGGGGGGGGGGCGCCAAATTGAACGTTTGAGGGGGGGGGTGCAAATGAAAAGTTCGAGGGGGGTGCAAATCGAAAGTTTGAGGGGGGAGTTCCAGAGGAGGGGTGCAAATCGAAAATTTGCTCCCGAGGGGGGCGCCAAATTGAAAGTATGTCCCCGGGCGCCGGGAAGGGTCGCTACGCCTCTGGTGTGTAGGGTAGGGCAGAGTGGTGTGTAGACTACGTTAGAGAGTGGTGTGTAGAACATGTGTGTAAGCTAGGGCAGAGTGGTGTGTAGGTTAGGGCAGAGAGTGAGTTAAATGTAGTTCAACTTTCACAGCGTTTTGGGATAGTAAGGCTCATATGAAGGGGGGGGGGGGGGGTGTTGGACATAAAGTGGTTCAGCAGCCCAAGTTCCAGGATCTATATCTGGAACCATGGAGCCTACAAACAACTCAGATAAATGTGGTACCTAGCATCTGTTTGGGAGAGTACATGTTCATTTTTTTCCCAATTTATAGCGCATCTCTACCCTATTTCACCGGTCCAACTATTTTTTAAAACCTGAAGTAATTAATTTTCCCTACATCATCTTATATTTTTCATATACTATTATATTATTTAAATAAACTTTGAATATTTTTTAAGGTGTCCCCCGGACAACTCAGGAAGAATTGGACTTCGCTAATTTCAGCCTGTTTGACGACCCGGCCAAACCTTACTCAACGTTCAACTTCACCTACACCCACCAGGAGTTTGACCGTCTCTCTAAGCTCATGGAGTTCAACACCCTGCTCTCGAAAGACATCATCTTCGACAACATCCGCACCTGCATCAAACGACGGAAGAGATTCAGCATCCGCCGGCCGTGCAAGAAGCGAGACGTGTCCACGCTGAGCTTGAGCATCGAGGCGCATTCACAGCTACTGGCTTTCATCGCCAAGTCAGAGAGTGGAGGGGTTTATGAAGAGGCGGATAAGAAAGATGAAACCGATTCTGTGCCTGCTGTGGTTATAAAAGACCGACGCATAAGTATGCCGATTCACGGAGACAAACGTAAAAGGTACGGGGCGAGTAAGCAGTTTCTGGAGTACACGGCAAAGTATAAAGGGCAGGTGGTGTATGAAGAAAGTGAGGACACAGATACAGGCGACGACACGGATTCCTCTAAAAAATCTGGTGGGGCCAAAGACAAGACAAAGCGTTTAGACCCAAGCACGCTATCTGCTGGTACCAATATGCCGGGTACCACAGACTCAGCTGAACAAACTCAGCCAGAAAAGTTGGATGATTCCCAAGTTTACAGTAGTCAGAAACATGATTTAGCTCAAGATGATGTGACCTTCGGCCTTAATGAGATTAAAAATATTTTATCAATGGGTGCAAGTGAAGCTCTAAGCGACCCACTTGACTTATCTGACCAAGAAATTTGAAAGAGATATGGAATTAGGAATCAATTAATAACACATGCCCGTATTTATTCGCTCTCACCAGAAAATATTTATTTTCATCACGATTTGGCGCAACTATAAGGGGAAATAACAACTATAAATTATAAACCATTAGTTCTGTAACAGTTATATCCCCTGAATGTTGTCAAACGTGCTACTGAGGTATTAACTTGCTGGGCTTGTTTAAATCGATGAAGTATTTTAAAGTATTTGCTCTCTTCTCTGACATTAAATACCCTTATTTTAACGTTTTCCTTCCTATATATTTTGTTATCCGCTTGCAGTTTTGAAAAAAAATTGTCTTTAAGTTATGAGAATAATAGCACTACCTGTTTTATAAAAATTTGCATAAACCACACTGCACCTTTCAATTACTTCTCCTAATTGAAAATTTATTTTAAAAATTCCCATAAGCTTGTACAAAAACAAACAAAATAAAACTTTTTTTTATTTTCAAAATGTTACATTTGATGAACTGCAATCGATGCATAAAATGTGAAATGTGTTTGGCATTTGTCTCCATCTCTCACTGCCATCAATGTGTGTCACTGTCATTGCCTGTCTCCATTTGTCACTGCCTGTCACTGCCTGTCACTGCCTGTCACTGCCTGTCCCAATCTGTCACTGCCTGTCACTGCCTGTTACTGCCTGTCACTGCCTGTCACTGCCTGTCACTGCCTGTCACTGCCTGTCACTGCCTGTCACTGCCTGTCACTGCCTGTCACTGCCTGTCACTGCCTGTCACTGCCTGTCACTGCCTGTCACTGTGTCTTCGAGTTTAGTCCCTCCGACACATGACCAAGAACACGTTCCATCTGACAGTCAAACTGCCACCGTCATTGTTGCTCAACTCTGACAATCTGGTGATCAAATGATTTCAATTCACTTGATGTTTGTCTAGCAAAAATACCGTTTGTCTACAGACAATATATTTTTCCTTACTTTAGTTTGTAGGCTTTTCATTATCTGCTGGTAAATGAATTAAACACTTCTAATATTTTTTACAACGTATTTGTGGATAATTTTATATTTAATCTTATCTAATAATTGGTCCTAATTTTCCCAGTTACTAAAATTAGCATTGGTTGAACGCCTAGAGTTACCTTCTCCTGATGTGACCTAGAATGTCGTCAGCTGGATACTCTCTGAGGTACAAGTCCACGAAATGGAAGGAGCGGAGATAGCCGATGTACTGGTCAACACTCATTTCTGACGTCATGTTGATGCCATCAAGTCTGGAATTTCATGGACGATAGAATTATTTGTATGCAAATCATTCAATAACTACGTATAACTTTCATATGCTTTTTTTTTTTTTAATTCAAATTATTTTCTACATTATAATAAGCTGTAAGTATGTTGAAGAATAAGATTAGAATAAATAAAAGTAATTAGTTTAAGTTTCACTCATTTAAAACACATTTTAAAGAGAGTGTTGATTGCTTCCCAAGACAGTTTCTTTGGTAGATGGAAGAGGAAAGATGGAAGACCAAAAATGTCACGTAGGGGATCATTTGAAAGAGAGGTTGGGAGAGGCTGGATTCTCATGTCTTGAGTTTAAAAACTAGGCACAAATCGTGTTCTTAAGGGAAGTAAAGTCCCGGTCCTATTCTCAATGGAGTTTAAGGGGTGACACCAAGACAAAAAAATTGCAAGATGTTTAAAATAAATATGTTTGTTTTTTGCCAGTTCAATGAATTGTTAATAAGATTTAAAAATTATTTTAAGTACATAATTACGATCCCAAGGAAGGGGTGTGTGACACAATGACTTAAACATGCAAATTATAGAGGAAAAAATGCTACATCCTGCTGTATTAATAACCGACTATAGATAAACATCATAAAATTTAGTATAGCTTTTACCGGGGGGGGGGGGGTGACACCAAATACAAAATTTGGACATAAAATTAAGTGTGGGTGTGGGGGTGTGTCACCATGAGATGCCACACCGGGTAACACCCGACCTAGCTACGCCACTGACAAGTAGGCCAACATATTACAAGAAATCTGATTATGTACAAAGTACAACTTACCTGAGAGTGTGGGGGAAGGGGAAGTCGATGGAGGTGAATTTATCTTCAATCAAATCAAGGTTTGACGTCATGTACTTGCTAAAGATTTTTTTTCGCGTCTAGATGTAGAGATAAAATTAGCAAACATGGATCAATAGAGTAGCTCAATCAATTGTGGACAGGGTAAAGTTAACAAAAGGTTAGATCAATGGATGTAGAGGTAAAATTAGAAAACATGGATCAATAGGATAGATTAATGGATGTACAGGTAAAATTAGAAAACACCGATCAATGGAGTAGCTCAATCAATTGTGGACAGGGAAAGTTAATAAAATGATAGATCAATTGATGTAGATGTAATGTAACACATATCGTTACCAGCCAAAGGGGGATAAAAATATGAAGTTGTTATTCATTGGGTTGCGGCCCCTGTGGGACTGCAACTGAACTGTTGACGTTTTTTTATGCTTTTGTGAGCGAAATTACCTGTGTTCCATGTCATGTGACATGTGCCTAGCCGTGTCGGACACGCAAGGCTGCTGTCTGTGGACCAAGATGTAGACCTAATGAAGGGCTACAGTTCTTTTTTCTCTTTTGGTCTATTGGTTTTGGATCTTTTGGTTTATCTTGGCTAGTTCGTTTTGTACTACTGTGTTGCATCGCCGTCATGGCTCGATGCTATAAATAAACGAGTACTTGACAACAACTGTCGGCGTCGGTGTGTACTTAATCTCAGGGTCAGCCCGTCTTAAACCACAACACCTCAGTGGGTAAAAGCATCCCCACTGAGTGAGGGTTACAGTAACATTAGCAAACATAGATCAATAGGATATCTCAGTCAATAGTGGACAAGAAATGATTTGAATAGCGTTATGCTCTACGTTAGCTAAAATGTTAACCCCTAACTTTATAGAATCGCCACTTACATTTACTTAACACGTAGGATTACATTTGTCGATATGTCGAGGTTAGGATTTTAGGTCAAGTTTAAACAGAGGCGTAGCCACCCTTCCCGGCGCCCGGGGGCAAACTTTTCGATTTGCACCCCCCCCCCCCTCAAGACTTCGATTTACAAACCGTTCTCAAACTTTTGATTTATTTTTCCAACCCATTTTGGCGCCCCCTAAGGTGATCTGAACACGAGACTTATATTCATACTCTCTGATCAAACACAAAAATCTAACATATTGAAAACAAATCCACATTATTGAACTCTTCAAAACTAAAAACTGTCTTCTGACAAGTTAGATTCATTGGTTTTTATTTATTGAAATAAATATTCGATTTAAAACTTGTGGTTTTCTAATAGTCCCGCATCACCGCCTGTAATTTGCTGAGGGCAAAGTGCAATAACTCTCAATCAACCAGAGCTTATACATTTGAAGCACAGACAATCATTTACCTGTTCAATGAACTCTGTTGCCTCTACGTCATCTAGAACTTCAAAGTTATAACAGAAGGTCGCAAAAGTTCCAGATGGTTTTAGAACTCGTTTCACTTCTTGAAAAAATCTGGAATCAAAGAAACATTTCAACCACAAATTATTTCAAAATATTCAGGCCTATCTAGCAAAACTTGAAAGAACTCTCTAAGGCTATTACCAGAAATATTAAGCAGAAAATGGTAGATATATTTTTGTGATATTCAATAGACTTTGTCCTTTTCAAGTTAATTTGTTTCCGAGATGGTTAAATAGCGACAAGGAAATGCTCTTTCATCGTTAATCACTGCACAAAAAATAATATGTTGTCTTTTCTTATTTGTATTGCATTGGGCGGGTCAATATTAAAATTGTGTTTGTGTTGTATTTGTTGCGTCAATATTAAAATTGTGTTTATATTGCATTAGGCGGGTCAATATTATTTTTTTTATGTTGTATTAGGCGGTCATGATGTAATTTTGAAATAAGATTTATAAATTAAAAAATAAAATATATTACTTGTCCTGATCCAGCCAATGTAGGGCCGTTGCCACGGTAACTAGGTCAACTGATTCAGGTTCCAGGAAATGGAGATTCTCCGCAGTCGACACAACTGACTTGACGTTTGGAAGATCTTTGGGAAATTTCTGGAGTTGGTCTTCACTGACATCTGCTCCTAGCACCTGGGGATTAGAGTGGAGTTGAGACTTGTGTGACTAGGCGAAATAGGTGAATGCGGCTGGGCGTTTTGTGATTAGGCGAAGTGGGTAAATGTGGTTTGGTATTTTGGTGAATAGGCGATATAGGTAAACGTGGTTAGGTGGTTTGTGATTAGGCGAAGTGGGTAAATGTGGTAAGTTGTTTTGAAAATTAGGCGAAATGGGTAAACGTGGTAAGGTTGTATGAATAATGGAAATGGATAGTTGCTGTTAGTGATAATGTTGTATTTAAATTCAGTGCTTAACTATTGATGAGATCTTTATCTTTAAAAGCTAAAGAAAATGTGTTTAAAGATACCGACACTGTGGACATTATTTTAGTGTGTTGTGTGGGGGAGGGAAGGTGGGGGGAAAGTGATACGATGTGAACCGGATTCCGTGGTCTGACGTCATGCAAAAGTGGGATCGGTATCGCGCACGAAACAATGACATGACATCATGAAGAGTTGTAGGGTTAGAGAGTACGTGGAGAGTTCAGGAGCTCAGTCATACACATACATACTCTCCATACTCTCAAGATATTGTGACGATGAGATAAAAAGGATATCAGGTATAAAGGTAAACACATTTACAAACACGCGCACTCACACGCATGCACATTCAAACACACGCACACACTCACACATATATATATACGCATATGTGTATATATATATTTGTATATATATATATGTATATATATATATATATATATATATATATATATATATATACATATATGTATATATGTATATATATATATATATATATATATATATATATATATATATATATATATATATATTTCTATATATATGTACATATATATATACACAAATATATACATACATACATACATATATATATATATATATATATATATATATATATATATATATATATATATATATATATATATATATGTAAAATATGAAGATATCGAGAATATGAATGAGACATGGGTAAATATAGTATTATTATAGATGTACTTTACTAAAGTATCCAGCCAAGGGCACTGTACTCTGCCCAGTACCACAGCAAACATCAACAGCGAGGTCACACTGACACGACCTTGAACTTGTATGGAAGGTCATGATTAGGTCGTACACCTCACGAGGATAGGAGGGCCTGTAGTCTGAGTACGCCTCTGAGAGCTGGGGTCCCGTGTACAGTTCTGACAGCTGGGGGGTCTTGTACGCCTCTGAGAGCCGAGTACCGTTAAGCCACTCTTGAGTAAGGCCTCCCACTGGCATTTCTTGCAGGCACCAGGCAAACTTGTCCCTATGTCACACGTAGCAAAAGATCATATATTGATGGCTTTTATTTTGTTTCGTTCAACACTGATAAATAATTACATTTTTGATTTATCTTAATCTCACTACAACAATTATCAAAATTTCATTTTTTTTTCTTTTAAAATAGTTGTAAAAAGATTCTAAAACTTTAAATTCTTTCTTAAAATATAAACATTATTTTAAGATTCAATATACGTTTTGTTATATAACTGATACAAATAATATGACAAATACCTTTTTTAAATGATGCCGAACCTCCCACGATTTGTTCATTTAAATTTTTATCAAAACACTACCTTGCACTACCTAACTCCACAATATGTATTTAACTCACTTCAAAACATTTACTGTGATTTAATTTTTAATAATTGAAATAAAACAAGTAACATAAAATCTTAAACATAACTAAAAATATAAATAAATAAAACGCTTTAGCCGTTTCACTTTTATATGTAAGGGAGATAACCCATTTTTAAAAAAAATATAGCATGCAGCACCAATTATTGTAAACGGCCTATTTGTAAAGTCTTCATGTAGAAAAAATGTAAATACAAATAACATAAGACTTACACTTCAACTTGGTAGACCTAAAACTGAAGCACTGAAAAACGTGAATCAATCCTTAATTATATATATTTTTTCAATGATGACTTGTGTTCTATAACTTGTTCAAAACAGCCAACTCATACAAATAAAGGTTTCGCCGGTTATTGTCTTTATATATATATATATATATATATATATATATATATATATATATATATATATATATATATATATATATAAATAGACAGGTTTGCGGAAATTCCTATTTCCGGGTGGGTAGGAGGTGGGTGCGTTCATGCTGTCAGAGATCAACTCTCACAAATAGGATCATGATTAGTAAAGACGGATCTTGACATTTAGTTTTGGTTTTGGAGGTCTAAAGGTACATTTTCTAACCTACATACTCATACCTCTTTATATATATCTATAATATAACGCTGCTGGTAGTGTGTCAGTCCTTCCTTCCGTCATCGCTATAGATTTTGGAACCATAAAAGTAAACTACGCACCATGCTGTGCTTTTCAGTGCACCGCAGTGTCTTATTATAAGTAATTGAGTAGGGTTTGTTTATATAACGGCATAGAGCTATTTTATAATTTCCACTGTTTGTACAATTTTGCATAACGTAAAGAGAATATTAAATACACGCACATTGCTAAAACATATTAAAAGGATCAATGTCAAATATCGTTTTCGTTAATATTCCCAGAAAGAGTGGATACATATTAATAACATAATAACAGTACGGTAGAAAAATCTAATTAAACTGCTTAGTAATTTTGCCAATGGAGGTAATTCAAAGATAAATTGAACTCACGCTAAAAATGTGAATGCAAAATCTGCAAGACGGAATAATTGTTGGAATAATATAATTAGCAAAATGTGAATGCAAATTATGCAGACGTGTAAGAGTACATTATTGTTGGAATATTATTATTAGCATTGATTGATAAAAGGCTATCTTTTATTTATTTTATTCACTGAATGTACTGTTTACTAATTATAATTTTTAATCAACTATTCTCCATTACTATATTAAGTCATCACGTTCATTAGGTGCGCAATGGTTTTAGTCATGAAACTTTATTGTAAATTTTTAAAAGTACTGAAAAAAATGCATAAAGTGCAATATGGTCGGTAAAACACGGATATTCTAAATACTGCCTTTAATTTATTTGCGGAAAAGTTAAGGGTTTTATAACAGAGGCGTAGCAAGAGGGGGGGGGGGGTGAAAATCGAAAGTTTGAGGGAGGTGGGAGGGTGTAAATCGAAATTTTCCGCCGGCGCTCGGAAAGGGCGCGATTTGGCGCTACGGGATAGACTGTGAGCAATATGCCTTTATGATTACATTTAAATTGAGTTTATGTTGAGTGTTGTGTTTGTTTTTTCGTTTTTGTTTTTTCTTTGCGTTCGTTTGTGTTGTATTTAGTTTTGTTCTGTTCCCAACTTGGTACATTTAAAAAAGGTTTACCGTGTGTTGTGGTTGTGGTTGTGTTGTGGTTGTGGTTGTGTTGTGGTTGTGGTTGTGGTTGTGTTGTGGTTGTTTTGTGGTTGTGTTGTGGTTGTGTTGTGATTGTGTTGTGGTTGTAATGTGGTTGTGTTGTGGTTGTGGTTGTGTTTTGTTTGTGTTTGTGTTGTGTTTTTGTTTGTTTTGTTCTGTTCCAAAGTTGGTATATTTTAAAAAGATTTACCGTGGCGGAGCACGGGATGCAGCTAGTATATATATATATATATATATATATATATATATATATATATATATATATATATATATATATATATATATATATATATGTATATATAAGGAAAGATGTCTAGCCACTTGTATGTGGACATAGCAATGTTCGCTACGTGTATGTGTCTGGAAAGTAAAGAAACTAGCTGTGGGTATCCTACCAGGTAGAACATAGCTAGGGCCTACCTATATTTGTGTCATGAAGAGAGAGATGTTATTTGTACAATTTAGCAAACTATCTTGCATGTTTCAACCACCTTATGTGATCTAGAAAGCAAATGTTTTTTGTGCTTGAATGACCACATATTTTGCATGTTCACAATACCATTCAATCGTTTTTTCTAACACGATAATGAAGGTCGTCAACCCTCATCAATAGTTTCAGATCGATAACACATTAGGATTTGCCTTATTCAATCGTTCTACAATAGCCACACGTGTGAGTGAGAAGTAGGTATCGTACTTTAGACTAAAGGTCATTATGTTATATGTGTATCGTGTTGTGTCGTATCCTGCGTGATGGTTTAGTTGTATGTGTGCGATAAAAACCAGCTAGCTTTCAATCGTATTACAACTTTCAAGATGGACAGTAAATATTGTTTCATTATTTTTCCTATGACGGTTTTTATTCTCTCTATAAGTTTACCACGAGATACGTTGAGCAAGAACATCTTGAATCACTCTATGTTGAAAGCCAGGGATATTGATACAAAACCTCCAGACGACGGGAAACAAGGAGTAAAACTCGCTTTAAGATCACACGCAGACGACCAAGTCCAGCTTGACAAATCAACAGACCAGCAGACGACATTTGAGAGGACACCAGCGGAGGACAAAACACCAAACAACACGTCATCACTGGCCCCTCTTTCAAAATCTCCCGACAAACATCTGTCAACTTCATCAGAGGTGGTTAAGCACAAGACAACAGCAGGTAAGTCAACAGAGAGAGACTTGGGTCAGGTTGTTTCTGAAAGTCTGTACCATAGTCTAACGTGGGTAAAATAGTGACTCCCTTAGATACAGCAGGGGCCACCTCAGATACATCTGGGGCCGCCTCGGATATAGCGGGGGGCATCTTACATCCATCAGATACTGCAGTTGCCGCTTCAGATACATCAGAGGCCACCTCAGATACATCTGGGGCGACCTCAATTTACTCAGGGGCTACATCGCATACATCAGGGGCCACCTCAGATACATCTGGGGCCACCTCAGATACATCATGGGCCACCTCAGATACATCATGGGCCACCTCAGATACATCTGGGGCCACCTCAGATACATCTGGGGCCACCTCAGATACATCTGGGGCCACCTCAGATACATCTGGGGCGACCTCAATTTACTCAGGGGCTACATCACATACATCAGGGGCCACCTCAGATACATCTGGGGCCACCTCAGATACATCAGGGGCCACCTCAGATACATCTGGGGCCACCTCAGATACATCAGGGGCCACCTCACATACATCAGGGGCCACCTCAGATACATCAGTGGCCACCTCAGATACATCAGGGGCCACCTCAGATACATCAGGGGCCACCTCACATACATCAGGGGCCACCTCAGATACATCAGGGGCCATCTTACATCCATCAGATACAGCTGGAGCCGCCTCAGATAAAGATATCACGGACAGAAAGCGGAAGTACCTCTACACTGTCCCAGCCGAGTTTTTAGCGAGCTGGATCCTCAACAACAAATCCGCCACCTTTGAAAGAGGTCTGCTGGCAAAAACCAAGATGGGCTGCTCGTATGGCTACATCAATGAGGGTGATAAGTGCTTCAGCTTTTACGACATCATCACTAATTATACTAACTGTAAGGCCCTATGTGATGTGTTTAGGTAGGTCTGTCTTATGTGTTTATGTAGGTCTGTGTTATGTGTTTAGGTAGGTCTGTCTTATGTCTTTAGGTAAGTCTGTGTCATGTGTTTAAGTAGGTCTGTGTTATGTGTTTAAGTCGGTGTTATGTGTTTAAGTCTGTGTTATGTGTTTAGGTATGTCTGTGTTATGTGCTTAGGTAGGTCTGTGTTATGTGTTTAAGTCTGTGCTATGTGTTTAGGTAGACCTGTGTTATGTGTTTAGGTAGGTCTGTGTTATGTGTTTAGGTAGGTCTGTGTTATGTGTTTAGATAGGTCTGTGTTATGTGTTTAGGTAGGTCTGTGTTATGTGTTTAGGTAGGTCTGTGTTACGTGTTTAAGTCTGTGTTATGTGTTTAAGTGTGTTATGTGCTTAGGTAGGTCTGTGTTATGTGTTTAGGTAGGTCTGTGTTATGTGTTTAGGAAGGTCTGTGTTATGTGTTTAAGTCTGTGTTATGTGGTTAGGTAGGTCTGTGTCATGTGTTTAGGTAGGTCTGTGTTATGTGTTTAGGTAGGTCTGTGTTATGTGTTTAGGTATGTCTGTGTTCTGTGTTTAGGTAGGTCTGTGTTATGTGTTTAATTCTGTGTTATGTGCTTAGGTAGGTCTGTGTTATGTGTTTAGGTAGGTCTGTGTTCTGTGTTTAGGTAGGTCTGTGTTATGTGTTTAATTCTGTGTTATGTGTTTAGGTAGGTCTGTGTGTTTTTCAGGCTCTTTTCCTGCCTTTTTCTAAAAGATTTTTGGCAAGAGAATATATTCCTGTACCTGTATACCAGGCTTAATCGTTCAAAGTTCCGTGATTTACAATTCCACTTCTCTCTCCTCCCCCCCCCACCCCCAGGAGTAAGCCAGTCCTGCCGGACAGTGTGGAAATCTACGACACCTTGTACGGCCTGTTCCGGCACTCCTTAGAGTCCAAGAATTTTGATCTGAACAACTCGTCTTTCTGGGTGGCTATAGTCAACAAGCAGGAACACTACTGGGTGTCAGACTAGTAAGTTAGTGGGAGATTTTGTGTGTGAGATGTTGTGTGGGGGATTTTGTGTGGGAGATTTTGGTGTGGAGGATTTGTGTGGGAGATTTTGGTGTGGAGGATTTTGTGTGGGAGATTTTGGTGTGGGGGATTTTGTGTGGGAGATTTTGGTGTGGAGGATTTGTGTGGGAGATTTTGGTGTGGGGGATTTTGTGTGGGAGATTTTGGTGTGGAGGATTTTGTGTGGGAGATTTTTGTGTGGAGGATTTGTGTGGGAGATTTTGGTGTGGGGGATTTTGTGTGGGAGATTTTGGGTGGGGATTTTGTGTGGGAGATTTTGGTTGGGGGATTTTGTGTGGGAGATTTTGTGTGGGAGATTTTGGGTGGGTGATTTTGGGTGGAAGATTTTGTGTGGAAGGATTTGTGTGGGAAATTTTGTGTGGGAGGATTTGTGTGGGAGATTTTGTGTGGGAGATATTTTGTGGGAGATTTTGTGTGGGAGATTTTGTGGGAGATATTTTGTGGGAGATTTTGTTTGGGACATTTTGTCTAGGATATATTGTCTAGGATACTTTGGGTTATTTTTTTTTTATTTCTGCGACATTTTGCCTGTGATATTTTGTCTGAAGTATTTTGTTAAAGATATTTTCTCCGGGATTTACTGTCTGGGATATTTTTGTCTAAGATATTTTGTGTGAGACACCCTATGTATTGACCTTGAGACACCCTATGTATTGACCTTGAGACACCCTATGTATTGACCTTGAGACCCTATGTATTGACCTTGAGACACCCTATCTATTGACCTTGAGACACCCTATGTATTGACCTTGAGACACCACATGTATTGACCTTGAGACACCCTATGTATTGACCTTGAGCCACCCTATGCATTGACCTTCAGACCTCTGATCTACAGCGCCAACAACACGAAAGACACCAGTTCTGTGAAATACGTCCGGTGGGCTGATGGACATCCGGGTTTCGCATCCACCCACGGCGCCAAATGCTCCGGCATCTCGTTCGTCGACGCCAAATACCGCGCCATCAAGTGTGACGAGCTCAACTACTGCGCATGCTCCACGCCATTGATGGTGTTAAACGAACACTCACCCTTCGGCTAACCAGATTTAGCCATCTTAGCACCGTACAATCTCATGACGATTCAAGTTTCTTTTTCTCTTTTTGATGTTTATTGTTTTATTATATTAAAATAAAGACAATGGAATATAACTAACGATTCGTGGTTATTAAAACTGTGTTGAAATAATATTGCCTTGGATCAGAAGCAAAATTAGACTCTCGCGTTTTCATTCACTCTCTAACTCTCTCTCAATCACACACCCACAAAGACACACTTTTTCATCTATATTTTTTTTCTGATATACACAGTCACTATTATATTAAAAGAAAAATGAAGTCGTTTTTTAATTTAATAAAAACTGTGTTCTTGTATTACATTCACAAAGACAACGGACACTAAACACCAAACATTTTAAATTGGAGCCTAGCGCCGCCATCTTCGTGTTGTGAACAGTTGAAAAAAAAAACATCAAAGGGACTAAACTCTGTTCAAAACTTGTGAGAGGACAGCATCGCCCAACTTGGTCACCTGAAACAGGAATTTGTTGTTTAGATAAAATATTTTATACAGTTATTTCCCTTTAGTCAACTGAGTAAAAATTTGAATTGTGTTTAGAATAGCTTCCCTTTGATCCGACTTCGTAAATTGTTGAAACCAAAACCACATTTACATTAGTTTGTTAATGATTAATTAAGCCTGAAAATAGAGCTGTGTTATAGGTGTAACATATGATTGAAGGAATGGGTAACTAGCTTTGTTGAACAGAGGCGTAGCGAGAGGGGGCGGGGGGGGGACATATGTCCCCGGGTGCCGACCTTAGTGGGGGGCGCCAAAATGGGTTGGTAAAAGAAATTGAAAGTTTGAGAAGGGGGGTGCAAATGAAAAGTTCGAGGAGGGGGGGGGTGCAAATCGAAAGTTTGTCCCCGGGCGCCGGAAGGGTCGCTACGCCTCTGTTGTTGAATGACTTTAATGAAAAAGTGGTATATGGAAAAGTGGGTTGGGTAGTAGTAAAATTGGACAGTAGTAAAAGTGGTTTCTGTGAGGTAATAAATGTGGTTTGTGTCACGTGTTAATAGTGGTTTTAAGGAAAAGTGGTTTGTGGTAGGGGTGTGGCTGCTGGTACTCACAGCGTTCATGACGTCACCCTCCACGCTTCGTGTGACGGTCCATCTCAGTTCCTTCTCGGCGTAGAAATATGACTCGACCGATTTACCGTCTTCGACAGTCAGGGTGAGCTGTCACAAAATACACGACACAGTAAGGATCACTCACAGCAGACTATCCGTAATACTGTACACACTTTATTTCTGATGGCTATCCATAATACTGTACACACTTTATTTATGATGGCTATCCGTAATACTGTACATACTTTATTTATGATGGCTATCCGTAATACTGTACACACTTTATTTATGATGGCTATATATAATACTGTACACACTTTATTTATGATGGCTATCCGTAATACTGTACATACTTTATTTATGATGGCTATCCGTAATACTGTACACACTTTATTTATGATGGCTATATATAATACTGTACATACTTTATTTATGATGGCTATCCGTAATACTGTACATACTTTATTTATGATGGCTATCCGTAATACTGTACATACTTTATTTATGATGGCTATCCGTAATACTGTAATACTTTATTAATGCTGACTATCCATAATACTATACACATTTTATTAATGATGGATATCCAAAATACTATATACACTTTATTTATGCAGACTGTCTATAATTATAGTTAGCACATCATTAAATTTCGACTATTGATGCAAATGCCTTTTGTTAACATTTTAAAAAGTTAGACTATGTTTCTTATATTTGTTCTATATTTTATATGAACAAATTGCATTGCGATGTTTTAATATCTGTATGTTAGATATGGTACGAATATATTTTATATTTTATATCATAAAGTATGCCTTGACCGTACCTAACACATAAAGTTTATGTAAAAGTAATATTAATGACCGCCTTTAGCTGCATTGTCTGATAAATGACCTACTTTAGATAATTTCCAATGGCATTGACCTACATTAAATAGATTTCCACACTAGTGATCTAGGCATACTCTAGCTACGCAGCTATATCGCCGTGCTAATTATAAAAAATGCTTAGCGATCTGTATAAAAATTTAAATTATAATTTCTTCATATGGAAATTTTAAATTAGAATTTCTCCAGTCATTAAACATACTTTATGTTCTTAAATAGCTTTACTAGTGTCAACATACTATAGCTGTGTTTGAATTAATACAATTAATTACCGTTCTTAAATAAGTTAATGGTGTCAACTCACCTTAGCTGTGTACCCATCGATTGATTTGTAATCGATCTCCTCCCCCAATTTGACCTCATAGATCGTGTTTGGGACGGCGCCTTTGAAGTCGATCTCGATTTTGTACTTGTCGCCATCAAGGCTGATGGTCAGAGCGTATTTCAGCTGTCTGTATTTCTCGATCTTCTCCTCGGAGAAACCTGGGGGTCAAGGGGGTCGATGTTTAGTGGGGGTCAAGGGGTTTATATTTAGTGGGTCAAAGGGGTTGATGTTTAGTGGGGGGTCAAGGGGGTAATGTTTAGTGAAGGGTCAAGGTGTTATCTCATGGGGGTAGGGGGGGTTGATGTTTAATGAGGGTCAAGGGGTTATTATTTCATGAGGTCAAGGGGTTAATGTCTAGTAGGGGTCTAATTGTTGATGCTTTGTTTGAGGTCAAGTTGATTAATGGGGGTCAAAGTATTTTTGTTTCATGGTGTCGATTTGATTATGTGTAGTAAGAGGCGAAGGGGGGGGGGGGGGGTTGAAAGCTTATGTCTAGTGGGGGTCAAGTTGTCATGTGTCGTTTAGGGGCGTGGGGGAGGGGGGTAAAGTTTTTTAGTGAAGGTAAAGTGTTTATGTACAGTGAAGGTCAGGTTGTTGTGTTTAGTGGGGGGGGGGGGGTCAAGTGTGTATGTATAGTAGGAAGAAACTTGATTAGGGCTGGAAGGGTGGGTGGAGTAAATGCTTGTATTATTAAGTCACATTTGGGTCGGGAGTTGGAGAGGTTGTCATTTTATTGATTAGTAAAACCTATAAAATAACATTTTTCATGTTTTGAAGTCTAAACCTCTGAGTTGTGGGGGGGGGGTGTAAATTAGCCCATTAAAGTTACTGTTTATCGTATCAATATTCTATTTTGTCCGTTTGTGAAAAGGAAAAATTAAATTCCTATACTTTTGAAAATGCTATACAAAAATTTTGAGTACCTTATTAAGTTAGATTTTATCACAAGTTTTTCAATGTGCCCTGGGTGTACGTGCGATAGTGCAAGTGTCTGACCAGAGGTTGTAATTGTATCCGTTCGACAACGGATGTAACCCACTCTGCACCCGACGACCTCATATAAATCTACGAGCGATTGCTTTGGAACCTGAACCTAAATCACTTTAATCTCCAACCCAGTTGTTATCCAACAGGTAAATCACGCCAGCCCCGCCCCCAGCACTTATCACACTCCGCCCCCAACATTTATCATGACCCGCCCCCTTCGCTTATCGCACGATGAACTATCATGGATATGTTTGGCTGGCTATTAATATTTTCATTTTTCATTTTTATTTTTCTTGAAGAGAAGCATTACTGGGTTTCTTTTTATATTATTTATTGTTGGATCTATATTCATGTTTTCTAAAAGGGGTATATGACCCGGGGTTGTGGGAGGGGTTGACATGACATTACGGGTCTTAATGACATTCACGACCTAGAATAGAACCAATCTTCAAAATAGCAGTAACAAGATTGGTGTCAATGTTCAATGTCTGAAGTTTGTGTGTTTTTTATAGCAAAGAAACGGCTATGTACGAATATATTAAGAAAGCTGTCAAATCGGCAATATTTTTACAAATAAATGTAGAGCAAAAAATTGAGTGTTCTTCCATTCATTTAAATAAACGAGTTTAAAACCTTAAGTAAGGGTAAAGCCATACGCATATAACATTGTGTGAAGGCGCGCAAATAATATTGTATGATTCACACACATACTAATGTGTCAAGCCACACTCACACATACTAATGTGTGAAGACACACACACACACACACATACAAATGTGTGAAGACACACACACACACATACAAATGTGTGAAGACACACACACACACACACACACACATACAAATGTGTGAAGACACACACACACACACACATACAAATGTGTGAAAACACACAAAATACCAATGCGTAAAGCCACAGACATACTTATGTGTGAAGCTACACATCCTAATGGCGTAGCTACACATGCTGAAATTTTACCTACTCATGCTGATGTAGTAGCTATAGAAATTGATGTTGTAGAGATGTTGTAGCTACATACGCTGAATGTTTAGTATTCCAGAAGAGACATTGGAACTAACATGTTATGTCTACACAATGTACTGGGCTCAACCAAGACAGGAACTTCACAATCTTTCTATCTCTGTCACTCTTGCAAGTTCTCAACGGTTAATGACGTAAATATTAGGCTTTAGCTAATGACGAGTGCAATCAATTAATTGGCTCGAGCTTACAGAAATTAATCACGTGGGTTTGGTAACATTAATCATCAAAGTTTTTTTGTCATACGTTATGGAAGGCCATTGTAATACATTATATCTTTGAGCACTGGTAATACAATTTTTTTTTTAAAAAGGCGATTGGTTACAAAATTACAAAATTAATCAGTGTTTCTTTCAGATATTTTTCTGCGGGACGTTGGGGCTACAGAACCTTTCGGGGTGCTGGTGGGGGTGAACATAAATTTCCGGCGGCGCACATTAATTAAAGTATATTTTCTAAATAAATTATAGTTTATTTTCAACATCTGGCTGTCCTCATCTACCGCCCAAACTTTGTGCTTGGTTTTCCAATACACAATCATCCAATGGTCTATTAGGCTATGAGCTATATTTTAAAACATTTTTTTTCTATTTTTTTCTGAGGGTGGGGATGGGGGCGGGGGAAGTGTAAAGAGGTATAAATTAATATTCTGAATTTATCAATATTTACTAAAAGGTTTTTAGTGGGCATAGGAGAACAAAATTAATCAATGTACATTTCTCAACAGATAATTCAATTTTTTTTGTTAAACATTGCATCAATGTGAACACTGTAACAGTTTATCAATGGCCACTAACTCGTACAAAAGATATCACTCGTCAAGGTCATTCAGGATGAGATAGGACTCCATCAGGGCACTGAACTCTCTGTGTTATCTGCAGATATTGTGCGGGTCTGATGCTATCTGCAGATATTGTGCGGGTCTGATGTTATCTGCAGATACTGTGCGGGTCTAAAGTCTGACAACTCGCCCGGACCCGTACGGCTGATACCCTCTGACCCACATAAAGTGCCGGGAAATCCGGCTTAATTAATTTATAATCACGCCCGTGTCACCTTGACCTTCCCCATTCAACGTTAGCTCTTCTGCCTTGGGGAACATTTTACGACAGTTCCCACAGTCGAGCGGATGACGTCACGTTTATGCGGTGTTCACACGGCACACCCTGTGCCCTAAATGCTGATGTCCAAAATTGTTTCAATAACATCCGTCCACAAACATTGTTTCAATAACAGCCCTCCGTATAACGGAGATATATAAAACACCCACAAAGCTTCTTGTCCCAAAGTAGGACATGAGTAGCCGGCGTTGTCCACTAGCAAATTTTTTTTTACCTTGTTCTGTTGTGCAGTGTTTGTTTCTTGCCTGTTTCATATATACCTATTGTCTAATGTCTATACACTTTCCCCATTGTCTGTCTTTTGTCTCTCGTTGTCTATTTACTAGCTGAAGTCTGATGTCAAACTAGCTGTCAGTTGACGTGTAGATCTATCAGCCTTGTTAAAAACCAACCAGCACCAATACAATGTATACAAAACTTACTTCGCACTCAACTAGCAACTGTAGCAAGTTGTCAGCTAAACTTGACATCCAACTGCCAACTAGCAACAGTAGCAAGTTGTCAGCTATCTAAACTTGACACTCAGCTATCATCAATACCCACTTATTTTCTTCTTCGTTCTTTCTTGTTATATTGAAACGGTGTTTACCTCCAACAAAATTTAAGCATTATATGTCAACATTGTATACTTTTACTCCAGCCTGGATTTGCTTCCTAAGCCTTAGTCCACCCAAGATCAGTGTTTCTTCCAGACTTTTTTCTCCCCGGGGGGGGGGGGGGGCAATTGAAATTTTTTTTTGGGGGGGGGGGGGGCGTCAACATTTTTCGGGGGGGGGAGGCGGACACTAGTAAAAGTGTATGTTTACTATATAAAATCCATCTCGTTCGGGGGGGGGCGCTACACTTTCTTTGGTGGGGCTCTCCCCCCCCCCCAAGAGATGCCTGGAAGAAACTCTGCCCATGATTAATCTACAAGGTAGCAATTGTTTGGATAAACTGGACAAAACAATAACACATACAAAAGGTGCTTGCTTAATATCATAACCAACTAGCATCAATACAATATCAGCTAAACTTGCCCAGCACACATACAAAAGGTTCCTCCTTAATTCAAAACGTTACAGACTTCTATCGACTCACCCATGGTTTTCCCGAACTCTTCCAGACCAGTGGTCTTAGAGTTGTCAACTTCCCAGGTGCCTAAGAATGAGGGATCCATCTTGGTAGTTTCGGCGAGTTAAGGCTTTACACTAGAGAGAGAGAGAGAGAATGTTAGGGCTTTACACTAGAGGGAGAGAATGTTAGGGCTTTACACTAGAGAGACACATCAATGTTAGGGCTTTACACTAGAGAGAGACAATGTTAGGGCTTTACACTAGAGAGACACATCAATGTTATGGCTTTACACTAGAGAGAGAGAGAGAGAATGTTAGGGCTTTACACTAGAGAGAGAGAGAGAGAATGTTAGGGCTTTACACTAGAGGGAGAGAATGTTAGGGCTTTACACTAGAGAGACACATCAATGTTAGGGCTTTACACTAGAGAGAGAGAATGTTAGGGCTTTACACTAGAGAGACACATCAATGTTAGGGCTTTACACTAGAGAGAGAGAATGTTAGGGCTTTACACTAGAGAGACACATCAATGTTATGGCTTTACACTAAAGGGAGAGAGAGAGAATGTTAGGGCTTTACACTAGAGAGACACATCAATGTTAGGGCTTTACACTAGAGAGAGATACATCAATGTTAGGGCTTTACACTAGAGAGAGAGAATGTTAGGGCTTTACACTAGAGAGAGAGAATGTTAGGGCTTTACACTAGAGAGAGAAAGACACATCAATGTTAAGGCTTTACACTAGAGAGAGAAAGACACATAAATGTTAAGGCTTTACACTAAAGGGAGAGAGAGAGAGAATGTTAGGGCTTTACACTAGAGAGACACATCAATGTTATGGCTTTACACTAAAGGGAGAGACACATCAATGCTAGAGCTTTACACTAAAGAGAGAAAGACGCATCAATGTTAAGGCTTTACACTAATGATAGAGAGAAAGACACATCAATGTTAGGGCTTTACACTAAAGGGAGAGACACATATCAATGTTAAGGCTTTACACTAGAGAGAGAAACACATTAATGTTAGGGCTTTACACTAAAGAGAGAGACACATCAATGTTAAGGCTTCACAGAGAGAGAAAGACACATCAATGTAAGGGATAACACAGGAATAAAGATAACATTCTCTAAGCATTGGTTAACACACTAAAATCACAAGTCTCAAAAACTAAAACTGATCTAACATTTACACAAATGAACAAAGCGTCGTTAAGATAAACCATCTGATTTAAGATTAAAAAATAACGTTGAGATTAAGTTAAAACAATGCAAACACCAGTCTAAATCTCGGCTAATGATATTAGATGCTAAATCTGAAGTCTACACAAGGACATATATCATCGACTACCCAAGTAAAATAACACATTAATAAATCAACGAAAGAACTTTCCTCCGACATTCGCATTATTGAATGTTGTTTTTTGTATTGACATAGACTTACGGTAAAGTGATTGATTTATCGAGATTTTCATGAACACATCTATAATAGAAGACCTTAGCACTGCTCTCAAATCACTATACTCTAACACCTACAATGCAAACAAAAATAGTAATTCTAAACCTACACAAGTCAAACAAAACAAGATTTAAACCAAAGATAAAGGTTCTATATCCAAGGAAAACAAAGCCATAAAATATATGGCTTTAAAACGTGTCTTCTTTAAAATTGGTCTGAACCAACGCTCTAGAGTTCAATGTGCAATATAAGCATTCATGCAAGATCAAAAACTACAATCATGCAAGTGTTTAATGGTAATAAACTATAGCCGGTTATCAAGTCCTAGTGTAAGACATTTAATTACATATCAAGAGGTGCTTACCTGATGTATGGGCAAAGCTGTAAGGGAAAGACAGGTCTGTTTTATAGTCGGACGATAAGGGTGGTGGTCATGTGATTTTGGTGGCGTTTCGATACTGTGGTAATTGTGTACCACGATACCGAAGTTAATTTATAGTTGATGGTACTGTTAGATTTGTTCGTATCGATACATCCATACAGAAAATAAAGCGATCAAGTTTTGGACTTTAAAAAATGCCCTTCAAGAGAATAGATTTTGAAAAAGTACGACTATTAGCCGTACCCTAATATTGATATTGCGTGTGTATGGCTGCATTGTTATAATAAACTTAATTATTGCTAGAACTCTAGAACTAACCTGTCGTCAATGGCCTCACCTTGTGTGTAGATTAAAATATTGTTACCGCCGTTACACTATGTACGAACATCTGGGTATGGCTAATCAAATAAGGTGAACTATACAGAAATCTTAAGTAAAAGCTATTACTCCAGGGTAAAATTGTAATTATCAATTTTTATGCCAATCAGTGCTTCTTTCAGACGTTTTTTCTCCAGTTGGGAAAGAGGCGTGGGGAGGGTTACTTTAACATTCTAGGAGGGGCGGGGTTAGGGTGGATGGGGAGGGGAAGGGGGAGGGGGAGGTGGGGGCCAACACTCGTTAAAGCATATAAATTATCTGTTTTCTATTTCATCCCCGGGAGGGAAGTGGTTTGGGGCACCCCCGAAGAGATGCATGAAAGAAACAATTATGCAAGTTACGTGATTGCATTTTTGAGCTATTTTGATGCAGCATACGTAGACAAGTTATTTCTATTACATCTTGATAGATTTTCTTTGTACCGGTTATTTAGCACAAATTTCCTTTTCATTTTATTAGCTGCATCGCATTTGTGTCTTTGGGATTTTTTGTTTCGTTTCGCATTTTTTTCCTGTTGCGTGTATTTCAGTTTTGTATTATTCCGGTGGTTAACTCGGTAGAGTATTTCATCGTGGTAGCTATGACTGGTGACGTAGTGGGGTTCCCCGTGCTGGCTGTGACTGATGACGTAATGAGTTTCACCTGCCCTGCGGTCAGTCTAGTTCCACTGTCTACTACATCCGTACTTTGGTTAGCCATTCCACACTCGGATACATTCCTACATGGGGCAGTCGGTTTTCTATTGCCTACTCAAATTAAAATTCCTACACGGCGCATATTCTGTTATATTGTTAATTCGATCCGTTAGATTTTTACAAGGAGCTGACGACTGACATTGACTAGATTTCTAAATAAGACAGATTTTTAATATCGTTTAGATTCCTAAATGGAGCAGTCGCTTATTCATTCTAGATTCCTAAATGGAGCAGTCGTTTATTCATTCTAGATTCCTAAATGTAGCAGTCGTTTGCCTATCTAGCTGCTGCCGACGGTCTTTCATCAGCTGCACATGGTTGCGTCAGCTCTACTTCCCCTGTGAATGGAACACGTGCTATCGTCAGCTCTACTTCCCCTGTGAATGGAACACGTGCTATCATCAGCTCTACTTCCCCTGTGAATGAAACACGTGCTATCATCAGCTCTACTTCCCCTGTGAATGGAACATGCAGGCACCTGTTCAACCGTCCACGACCCCATTCACCAGGTTATCAAATCATTATCGTCTTCTTTTATCTTTTAAAAATTGTAATTTTTTTCTTGGCTACGCGCAATCAAAGCGGTTTTTCCATTTATTAAAAAAAATGGTTTCATTTTTACCTAATTAGTCATAACCTTAATCAAATTCTGAAAGATAATTTATGTCTGTTATCGGGAAATAAAGTTATCGTGTGTTTGACTCTAGCCACGGATACTGAGACGCCCACATAAAATGTTACAATCAACATACACAATAACACAACCTCCCCTTATTAGATGCCGTTACATCATATAACCATCTTGCAGAGTTACGTTCCCTGCAGGAATAAATTGAAGGCAATTGTATCTGATTTGATTGTGTTAGGAAGCAGGTACCAAATACCATTTAGCTATACTACACTGATTTAGGGGTAGCTATTTTTTTCTGCGATTCTATCTCGATATTCAATAATGCATTGTAAAACCTATTTGTTATATCCTTATTAATCTACACCAAATCGTCCACCCCATTTTTACAATCACATAACCCCACCATCATGTACTAATGCCTTATAACTTCGCCCGTACACCCCTCATAACATTGTTACACCTTATACCAACAAGCTGTGGCGTAGCGAGGTCGGGTGTCACCCGGTGTGGCACTTAATGGTGTCACCCCCCCCCCCAGAGGCGTAGCGACCCATCCCGGGAAGGGACAAACTTTAAATTTTCGATTTGCACCCCGCCCCCCTCAAACTTTCGATTTGAACCCCCCCTTAAGTTTTCGATCTGCAACCTCCCCCCTCAAACTTTCGATTTGCACCCCCCATCAAGTTTTCGATCTGCACCCTCCCCCCCTCAAACTTTTGATTTGCACCGCCCCCTCAAGTTTTTCTCTATATATTTTGCTATTTTTTGCCTTGATGTCACCCCCCTAAATGGTGTCACCCTGTGCGGTCGGCACCCCTCGCCCCCCCCCCCTCGCTACGCCCCTGCCAACACGCATACACCCCACCATAACTATACCCTCAACGATGCAAACACAACGCTTCCATTACCATCTTGCATCATATGTAGACATAATTATAAAGAAGATAATGACAACAACAAAAACAACTCCTCCCTCCTGCCTTCCAGATCCAACTACACCCCCCACCCCCCACCCCACCCCCTCACATGCTGTTACTCCCACCCCAAATCCCGGACTGCGCATGACTTAAGTCAGTATCATTAAAAGATATCTTTAGCTTTATCAAGTCCTTCTGCTATGAGTCATCGGCTTGAAAATAGGGCAGGATTCAACATGGATCATAAAACAAAGTCCGAAACGATTTTTTTTTCTTGATAGTAAAATTTTCCTCGGCTATCAAAATGTGTAGTGTGTCACTCCTTGTATTGTGTTATCTTGTATGTATCGTCTTTGGTGATGTATCACCTTTCAATGTGTCACCCCCTGTATTGTGTTATCTTGTTGTATGTATCGTCTTTGGTGATGTATCACTTTTCAGTGTGTCACCTATGATCTGTTTTATCGTACGATAAAATCACATGTTTTGGTTACCCAGTCTTCTATATCACAAGAATCAAGTGTCACCATTTGTTCTGCATCACATGAATCAGGTGTCACCATATTAAGTCCTACTATTCATTTTACAAATCGCCTTTTATTCTAAATTCTTTTTATCCCTACGTAAACCAAGGAAAACCTAACATTATCCTAACAATTCTACTCTAAACCAAGCATTATCCTAACAATTCCGTTCTAAACCAAGCATTATCCTAACAATTCCGTTCTAAACCAAGCATTAGCGTAACAATTCTGCTCTAAACCAAGCATTATCCTAACAATTCTGCTCTAAACCAAGCATTATCCTAACAATTCTGTTCTAAACCAAGCATTATCCTAACAATTCCGTTCTAAACCAAGCATTAGCGTAACAATTCTGCTCTAAACCAAGCATTATCCTAACAATTCTGCTCTAAACCAAGCATTAGCGTAACAATTCTGCTCTAAACCAAGCATTATCCTAACAATTCTGCTCTAAACCAAGCATTAGCGTAACAATTCTGCTCTAAACCAAGCATTATCCTAACAATTCTGCTCTAAACCAAGCATTATCCTAACAATTCTGCTCTAAACCAAGCATTAGCGTAACAATTCTGCTCTAAACCAAGCATTATCGTAACAATTCTGCTCTAAACCAAGCATTATCCTAACAATTCTGCTCTAAACCAAGCATTATCGTAACAATTCTGCTCTAAACCAAGCATTATCCTAACAATTCTGCTCTAAACCAAGCATTATCGTAACAATTCTGCTCTAAACCAAGCATTATCCTAACAATTCTGCTCTAAACCAAGCATTATCGTAACAATTCTGCTCTAAACCAAGCATTATCCTAACAATTCTGCTCTAAACCAAGCATTATCGTAACAATTCTGCTCTAAACCAAGCATTATCCTAACAATTCTGCTCTAAACCAAGCATTATCGTAACAATTCTGCTCTAAACCAAGCATTATCCTAACAATTCTGCTCTAAACCAAGCATAACTTTATAACTGGCCCAACTTTTAATAAAAAACCCACGTAAATGGTAACACTATCTTAGGAAAAAGCTGAAAGCTCTACCAAGAGTCGCTCCTTAAAAAAATAAAATGTTATCTCGAGAAGCTGATTATGACGTACGATTAAGACAAGAGTAATGGATCTTTACGGCGACGTTTTGTTTTCGTCGTCACAAAATTACGACGATACGGGGCGGAGTGGGAGGGGAGGGAGGGGAGTGTAAATTGCTGACGACAGTGATTTAGTCACACCGATGTAGAAAAACGGAGCTGGGTGCTGTAGAAATTATCTCATTAATTTATTGTTATTGTGAGCAATCTTATCTGAGTGTCTGGGGGACCTATGGGTAGATTATCATACCATGAGATTATGGAATGTTGAGTCAGATTGGGTTATTTATACAAACGGTGCTATATTTATACATCAGTTTACTATTTATAGTTTAGGATACTATGAATAGAAACGTTCATAATTCAGATCCATGCGTTGAAATTAACCTTTCGAATATGGATAATAGAGTAGATGAAGTAGAGTTCACCCTGTGATCTCGGCACATAAAAGGATATTGTCATGCCGATTCGCCTTTGTTTCTCTAACGTGTGTCAGGTACCCATTAGAGCTGAGTGGACTCATGGATGTTCTTCGGACTCGAACGAGGGATCTGAACTCAGACTCTACTATACCACCACGCCGTCCCTACACGACTTCAAACTACCCCCCCCCCCCCCCATTTAAAAAACTCAGACACGATTCATCTCCCAGTCAGTAATGTTAGAATGTGGTCATTCTGCCCCCCCCCCCCCCCTACTTTCTGATCTACTACGACGACTGGGGCCAAAAATTTCTAAGTTCATCTAAAAAAGAAAACTATTTTCTAAATCCTGAATAGTCACAGATTGGTTGAACCAGGTTATCATAATGAGATCAGTATCGATACTTTAACA